TATACGTGTATATTTACGTGCTAAGCATTATTCTAAAAAATATTTTGAAAATAATTTGATTTGACCGATTGCCGAGCTCAAAACCGATCACTCACTAAATATTTGATTGATCAAATTTGCTATTAAGATAAATTGAAAAATGTTGATTTTTTTTTTATGTATCTATAAATACGTATAAAACATAATTCCAAAAAATATTTTAAAAATATCGTGATTTGACCCGAAAACCGACCGAATGACCAAATACTGCATTGCTGGCGTTATCCATGGAAAAAGCTTCATTTTTGTATTATACGCGTATATATATACGTGCTCAGCATTATCCTAAAAAATATTTTGAAAATAATTTGATTTGACTGATTGCCGAGCTCAAAACCCCACTTACTAAATATTCGATTGATAAAATTTACTAGTAATATGATTCGAAAAATGTTCATTTTTTGTTTTATATATCTATAATTACGAGTAAAACATATACGAGTCGGTTATCCGCCAAACCACGATATTTTTAAAATATTTTTTGAGATTATGTTTTATATGTATTTATAGATATATAAAACAAAAATGAACAATTTTCAAATTATATTACTAGTAAATTTGAATCTAGGAAAATAATTCCCCGGAAAAAAAATCCCGTGACCCGGATCTGCTCTGCAGTATTTAATTAAATAGAAATGTTTTTTAAAGTCAAATTTCTTCGAGGATTTGAGATTTTAAATAATAAAACGAAAGTTAAATAAATCTAGTTCACCTTTACACACTTTCATCAACTTTTAGGTATTTATTGAAAAATTATTTTTACACAAATTTTAATCATTTTTTTAGAAATATGATAAAAGGCTTTTCACAGTTTACTGACTCTTAAATAGCGCCCCTTTTTGTTTTTACAAGGATAAGCTATTAAATAATAGCATTTTATAAATTTTGTGGCTAAATAGGAAATTAGCAATTCAATCTGATACCCTCTATTTGATAAATATTATTTTACTGAAGTATTTACCTACTTTAAGAATTTAACTGACTGAATACAAAATCACTATAAAACTTGCAAAATTATATTTTTTACTGCCCAATTTTAATTAAATACTGCCAAAAGTAATGAAAAATGCTGACCACTTTAATCAAAATACATCCAGAGGTGATTATCAGCAGTGAGTATTATATTTTTCTAATCTAACAATTATTATTTTGCTTATGAATTTTTTTCAAAAGTTACAGAAAAGAAATAATTATAATTTTATTAAATGATATATAGAATAATAAATTATATTATTCAAAAGAAACAATTCTAGAACGTATATGTTCTCCAATTGAAGAGAGAAAATTGGGCAAGTCCCTTCTCTCTTCTAAATAATCAATGCATAAATTTTTTAAAATAGTTTGTTTCGTTGCATAAATACGATTTTTTTTGGGAGTGTATGTCCCAATATTCCATTGGACGATTTTTCCCATATCAACCGCTATTTCCATCCTTATTTTTTCGAGTAGTTCCCATATCTTCGGTTTTTTGTTGCCTACAATATGCTTAAATCGGTTATTCCATCCTTCACATACATTGTTTGTTCGATTTTCCCCAGCAATCGTAACATTGAACACATTCCATGTTTCTGGTGGGAACAATGGCTCTACTTGCCTTTGAGAGTTTTTCCCATGTCTCAATTCTCCATTCACATAATTTTTATCAAAATAAAACAATAATTCATTGTTTTCATCCGATACAATGGTTTTTAAATACTCCATACCTCGTTTGACATCGTGTATAGGTAAGAATGCTAATCCATCGATCATAGCTGCAAATAAGCATAACATTGGATCATTCCGATATGATGATTCTAACCCCAATTAATGAATCTTTCTATGAGTTGATTGAGTTAGATGATAAAAACATCCTTGGATGTTGATATCTCTACCTAAAAGTTGAAAAAATATATATTAAAATTATTGTATAGGTTTTATTTAATATTTATGTCTTTATCAATTTTTATTAATTGTACTGTGTGACAAGAAAAATGGGAGAAAAAATAAATAAAAACAAGTTTTGGTGCAGAATTTGACACTGAGTTCGAATTCGTTTTCTAAGTTTTCCCTTCACGTCAAGTTTTAAAAATATTATCGTATAAAGGCAACTTTTCGAAATCTCAAAAATGGTAATACGGATATATTTTAAAAAGTATCAAATGAAAATCCCTGAAAATTGGTGATAGTGTTAGATTTATATTTCCTTATAAATTTATTAATTTTTATAATTTTTTATCGATTGCTTTTTGAGAAAAATGGTAAAGAATTTCGTTTTGGGGGGTCTTAAGTTTTCAATTTAAATTCCCGGCAAGAATCGTATAAATATGTTGGCGGACTACTGCTGGAGTATCTTTTTTGAAAATAAATCATTAACTTCATATTCGCGGAAATATATTTAGATTTACCATTAAATGTTTTTAAATTCGATAAATTTTATGTTATTGTTTAATTTGTTTTAAATTCAATAAATTTATTGTATATTACAAGTTAAATCCTATATAATAATGAAGGAGGGGGTGAGACAACGGACCGATAAAAGGTTTATTAAAAGTAAAATATGAGATAGGTTAGCTTAGCATAATATATTTATTTAAATATGAGAAATGTAACTATTTCAATTAAAATAAATTGTTTGGGAATCGTACCTTGTGCAGTGTAGCGAAGAGAATGAAAGCTACAATAAATATATTAAATGTAAGCTATATTAAAAAAGAATCTAGAAAAATAATTCCCCGGAAAAAAAATCTCCGTTTTTAAGATAATTAAAATTACAAAATTAGGAGAAAAAATTCCCTATAAATAAATCAACGAAATAATAATTCTCAAATAAAATATTTAAAAATTTTGATAAAATTAATTCTGAAGAATTATTAGGATTATGTTTTATACGTATTTATAGATATATAAAACGAAAATCAACATTTTTCAAATTATATTCCTAATAAATTTGGTCAATCGAATATTTAGTGAGTGGTCGGTTTTGAGCTCGGCAATCGGTCAAATCAAATTATTTTCAAAATATTTTTTAGAATAATGCTTAGCACGTAAATATACACGTATAAAGAGATTTTGATAAATAACGCCAGCAATATTTACTTTAAAAAATTTCCATTATTTTACTATTCTAAACCTACTCATTAAACATTAAAGAAACCTAAAAAAAATTTTTAATTTTTAGGTTTTTCATATGTATAAAAAAAATTCTATCCAATCATCATTCCGGTTTCCTAAAATGATACATATTAAAACATATAACGCCCTCTTACGGATATATATTTGTTAATTTTTAAAATTGAATAAAATGTATATTTGTTTTAATAAGCTAGAAAAATAAATTTCTTATTAATAATATTAAATAAAAATAAAATTATATACTATATCATTTAATCAGTATTCTTCATTTATAATAAAAAAATGATTTAAATATATTTTAAAAAAAAATTATCATTAAAAAAATATACGTAATAAATTTTTGATTGATTTATAATTGATAATGATTGATTGGCTTTTAGCAATGCAGTTTAGCAATGCATTAGCAATTCAATGTATAGTGGGGAAATTTTTTCCGGCGAATTATTTTCCAGGGGAATTTTATTCCGGGGATTTTTTTTCCGGAGAATTATTTACCTGGGAATTATTTTCTGGGGAATTTTTTTCCGGGTAATTATTTTCTAGGGGATTTTTTTCCGGGGAATTAATTTCCGGGGATTTATTTTCCGGGGATTTTTTTTCCGGGGAATTAATTTCCGGGGATTTTTTTTCCGGGAATTTTTTTCCGGGATTTTTTTTCCGGGGAATTATTTTCCGGGATTCATAAATTTGATAAGAAGTTTTAAACTTGACAAAAAAATGCTTCAAAATTTACTAAAGAATCCCCAAATGTAATAGTACATAATCACTACAACATCATGAGATTAATAACCAAGATGAGGATTATTTTTCTTCCAATGAAAAATATTTCCGAGTTTAGTCAAACAAATATATTGACTTGAAGTTTTGAATTATCTTAAAGATTGTAGAAATCCTTAGAACACTTAATTATTATTCTTCCAGTGAAGAAATATTTTTTAAAATAATACTATAATACCTTTATCAACCCCATTTGATAGGTCATTCAGTTTTGGCACAATGTTAAAACTCCATAAAGGCAAAAGCTTAATGATATATTATTTTTTAAAATAGGTTATTTTAAAATATATTTTGCTTTAATATAATATACCAATAATTATTTTAATAAATTATAAAATACTTTGTAAATAAATATTTCAACTCCATAAAAAAATACTAGTCCTCATGTTTAATTATACTTAAAATATTTTATTTATGTAAATATTCTTTCAATAAATTAATTCTTTCTCTTAATTATTATTCTTTACAAATAAATTTTCAATTTTCAATTTAAATACAAGTGTTTAGTCCCCTAGTATCTATTAATATTAATTTCAAATTTACTTTAAAAATTTTCTAGGAGATATAAGCCATGTTCCCAATTTTTAGCGATTTTTGTTTTAGCGATTTAGAACCTATCCCGAATTTTCTTAGACAAATTAATTTATTGGGTTTTTTAAAGAGATACATCAAGAAAGAATATAAAATTCTACTATTAAAATTGCTTTAACTTATTTATTGATAATAAATTATTTTCGGAAATACTTTTTATAATTCAAACTCCTTTTTTAACTTAGTTGCGAGAAGAATTAGTGAATTAATAAAATAATATTTCATAAATTTCAAGTCTTATATTTATAATTATTATAATGTAATTTATAATTTTGCCATTTTAATTTATAATAATTATTAAAAATATTAATGCAATTTATAATTATAACTATTAACGGAATTTCTCATCATAAGTTTAACAATAATAAAATATGCCGTGGTCGATTTAAATTAGGCGGAAGCGTGCGCCGATTAAATCGGCCTCATAAAAGTCCTCTAAATTATAAATAACTAATAAAGGTGAAAAAAAATTAATTGAAAAGCCATTTTCGAGTGGGGCGTTTAATCGGGGACAAGGAATGGATCTACTAAATGGTCGTTTCATAGCTCAAATGAGAGGAATTTACCACTTTATATGCTATGTTCACGTGATACATAAGCCTGGGAAAAAAAGACGCATTTTAAAACAATCGGACAACATCCGTTTGCTCATATGTTTAAATTCACAATGCAGGAGTCAAAGGTTCTGATATAAAAAAAATTTCAAATCCCTTTAACTAAAAAAATTAATATAACCTTTAGTCTTTACTGATTGATTGCTAAATTAAAAAATAGTTTAATTAACTATTTTTTTAAGTGTATTAGTTTATTAGGTTTTTATATGCAACTAAACAATTTTACATAATTTTGATAAATGAGTGCAGATGAGCAATATTTCTATAGTTTTATCGGCATATTATTAAAATTTGAGGTATTAGCTAGCTCTAAATTTTTCATAGCAAATTAAAGGCTTTTATCTAGGTATAATAACATTTTTTATTAAAATGGATACTTTTTGTAATATACATTATCTAAAATCATTATAGTTCATTAGAATACATATCGGGCTTTGAAAGTAACACAAAAATATTTACCATCGGAGTATCTGGATTATTGCAAATGCAGGTTACTTCCAAATAAATTTCTGAATATTATTAACGTCCATATTATTATTTTTTGCCGTAATGTTGAGAAATAATTTTAATTACCTAATTACATTTCTTTATACAACTGTAATTGACAACTTTTCTTTAAAAGGTATTAATAATTATAATAAATTGTCTGTTTTACACAATTAATTTATATACTACTATCAAATAAAATTATATTAAAATTAACATATCAAATATAAAATATAAAATAAAATAAAACATTATTTTATAAAAACGGAGGTGGGACTACAAGTTCCCAAAAAACATGAATAGTTATATTTTAAAATCGTTATTTGTAGATTTTGTTTTAAAAAATAGTATTCTTTTGGTTCTGATGTAAGGGCTCTTATCTTATCGTCTATATTTTTTAAGAATTTTAAAGTTCCGTTTGGCATATGTCCAAGGGAAGAGATAACGATCGGTATAAAAATATAATTTGTGAATTTGGAATATTTCATTGTTTTTTTTTCTCGGCTATATCAACGGATTAGAATTTAAATTTCTTGGAAAAGAAGATACGCATGTGAAGTCCCAAATTAAGGATTTCCCTAAAGACCAAGCACGGAAGTTAAGCCATCTGGTCTTAAGCCATCATCTAATGATAAATTTGTAGGCTCCAGGATGTTTGGTATTCGGGTCCTGGTAAGAGAACGGCTAATAGCTAAATTAATTGCTGCATGATGAGATTGTATTAAAAAAATTTTTAATTAAAGGTTCGAAAATATATTGGTGTGTTAAGATTGTGGGTAAAACAGCTTCAGGTGGAGCTAAAGATACCCAAACTGTCAAGGCTGAATTTAAAGGTTATCTTTAGGAGAGATAAAAGAAGATATCATGGCGTTATTCATCAAACGCGATGCCAAAAATGAGGAAAGGGATATAAGTTTTAATGGATATAAATCTAAACCACCCATTTTCGAGGGCAATTGTGAGAAACCTCAATTTAAAAAAAAAGAAAGAAGATCTAAAAATATATAAAATCTTTGGTAAAAATAAATATTTTTTTAGAAAAAAGCTCTGTGAAGGAATTTCTTTTAAAACGAACACCTCACAGTTGGAAAAACTGCTTAAAGGTGAACCTAGAATATTATTTTAACTTTTTTTAATGATTTTAAACCCTTTTACTTCGAGAGTATTTGAATTTAAAAAGCATATTTCAGATTTAGATTTATTTAGAGTAAGGCCTATGTTTAGAGAATTCTTCTCTATATATTCTATCGTGAAAGAATATTTTTAGAAGGTCCGCAAATGGTATCATCCTCTAGATACCATATGTTAAAATTATAAATTAAAAAAGGATTTTAGAGAACTAGGTTATGTATACCTAAACTAGGGCCCAAAGTTGTTGAATACCTTCGTCAGATGGAATTGTATATTCCCCGAATTTGAGAGGGGTTCTACAGCCATAAAACTGTTCAATAAATCTTGCATAAACTGGGAATTTATCATAAAATATGTTCAAAAATACTTTTCTGGATAAAGAATTAGAAGCATTTTTAAAATCAAGCTTACAGACTACGTCGTCTGGAGGAAGATCTTCGATATATATGCGAAGAGAGTGAGCGGCTATTTCGCATCCCCCTTTAGTACCAAAGCCTAGTTGATATGTTTGGAACATTTTTGAAGCATTAGGTTTGATGCGCTCAACTATTATCTTAGCTAATAGTCTCCTAAAAAAAGACCCTATTGCAATTGGCCGAACTCTACCATCAGGCTTAGAAAAAGCAATTAATCTTGCGCCATAAAGAATTTGGTGAACTTCACTAAGTATTACCAGTGAATTTACAAATGAATCTTGATAAGGATTTTTAGGGTTAATTAAAAATTGGAAATAAGAGGGGCGAAAACCGTCAAATTCCCCCTGCAGAGTTTTTATTAAAAGATAAAACTGTTTTAATTAGTTCTTCCTTACCTATTTCGATTAAATTAGATTTTATAGGGATGGGAAGATCTTCAGGAAAAGCCTGAGTATGCAATTCTTTTAATAAAGTGAAAGTATGTTCATCAAATGGAGCCAATTTATCATTAGATGAAGCTAATTTAAGAGTTCCACATACGTCCCCTTGGTCTATTTTTTTTGAGATAATTTTCCATTTCTAAGTCATAAAAATGGTCTATTTTATATTTTATATATTCGTGCAAAATAGTTTTTTTATTTTTATCTGTAGGTTTAATTAAAAAGGAAAGGTTAAAGATTTTCCCAAGCTTTAAGGGAATTTAAATTTGAATTAACTTCCGTAATATGTGTTGATAAAAAATTAGAAATTAAAGACCTTGATTTAAGGGGTAGGTGGATTAAGGTTTAAAAAATTATCATAAAAATCAGGATAAAAATTTTAAGGTTATATTTCTATGGCAGGCATTACAAATGCTTGACATACTTATTTTAGAAGGGGAAAAAAAAGGAGAAGGGGGAAGGGGGATAAATATGAATGAATGACCTATTTCTAAAATTCCAAAATTATTTAAAAAAAATAAAATAATTTTTATAGATTATAAAATTTAAAAATTTAATTCTGTTAATATTGAGTAATGTTTAAAAAAAAATCTATATTTTTGAAAGATATGTATTAAAATTTGGGGTTAGATGGTTGTGAAATTGGAATGTTTAAAAATCAGATTTTTTTTTTAATTTAAAATAAATGTAATATTCAAATAGATAAATAAACTTAGAACTTTATATGATTGAGATAAGTATTTTCATCATTGAATGAGTCAAAGAAATCTTGGTGGTAAGCTTCTATGGCAATTATATATATATAAGCAGTGGATATTATTTGGGGAATATTTAGGTTTAAAAAATAAATAATTTGAAAATATTTGTATCCAATCCCATGTTCAATAATTAATTTAAAAGATCAATCTATATTTGTTCTATATCTTGCATTGGGTGGAGATTGATTACAAATTGAAGCAGATATATGACAACAATCCTGGAAGTTATACCATCATAGTCCTAGAGTCTTCAATATTCAATGTTGTTTGGAAAAAAATTATACAGACCTTTATATAAATCTTGGCATATCACTTAGACTGTATCATCTAATATGTTGTTAGTTAAATATTCATAAATTTTTATTGATAAATTTGCAATCCTCTTGGATGTCATATTAGAAATCTATATATTATTAGTCATTGTTATAGTTGTTTTATCTGACTTGGAAATATCTTTTACAAATTATTAAGGATTGAGCTGGGCTTGATAAAGCTTGTTTAGTTTCAAATATAACTATTTGTGCAGAAAGTAAGTCTCCTTTTGGTCACTGGCGTCAACGGGCAAGTTCTTTCAAAAATGCACTGGTGGTTGTGTTTCACTGATTGTTGTGTCCACTATATTATATGGAAGAATTCGAATAAATTTAATTTATAACTCCAAGAAAATTTTAAAAACATTTAATAAATTATTATAACTACGTTAATAATTACTTAATGACTAAATTTGTAATTTTTTACGAAAAAAAATATTACAATCATTAGTTCCTTTTTTATATAATCCATTGGTAATATGAGTAGTGTTGAATCTTTGCTTTTTATTCTGGAATCCAATGACATCCTGACAGAATTTAATAATACAATCCTAATATCATTAGGAACTGAATAGAACTTGTCAATATTCAGTATAAAAAAAATTCAATTAGATAAAAAAAAAATAAAGTGGAAAGCGCAAAATATCTAACGTCAAATTATAAAATACCATCATCTAACAACCAGTAATCTAAAACATATAAGGTATATTTAAATATTAATTTGTTCCAAATCTTATTCTTTTAGAAAAATAACGCAATAAAATAAGATTTAAGCCTACTAAATCATCAAACGCAGATAGTCACCAAATAATATAAAAGAATATTCAAAATAAAAAAATTTCTATAAGTCATGGAGGGTGGGGGGGAGGGGTAATTAATTGATTGTCAAAGTGAAAAGCCACTTAGTATTTTTGGGGTATTCATAAATTTTATTGTAGGTTAAGTATATATAGTTATCATATTTTATTATTATGATAAATCTCTACATTTATCATACGAAAAAAAATACAATTTTGATTAGTAATAAAGAATAAAACATAATATTATAAAAAAGTCATTAAATTTATCAATCATTTTTTCGAGATATTTATCAAATTTTACTATTTTTAAAAAAATTTAAGATAAAGAGAATTACAATATAATTACTCTAAAAAATCACAATTTCAACGATTAGTTACTAAATTCAAATTTTAGAAAAGGAACTAATAATTTTAATTAATTATGAAGTTTTGTGATCCTAATTACGGTAATTATGCCCGCCTTGAGTAAATTTTTTTTAGATGTTATAGTAATTTATTCTTTTGTAATAGAGAAATCAAAGAATAAATTTTTTTTCAATGTTTATATATAATTACGAAAAGGCTGGAGAGTATGCCTCAGTATTTATAGATAATAGATCAAAATTTACAATAACAATTCAAAGGGGCTCACATTTCAACGGCATTCTGCTAGGAATTTGAAACACATTTCATTATTTATTAATCTGTGCTATGATACATTTTAATTTTATATCTATATTGCATTAATTCATTATGTTATATAATCATGTCACTTTACTTAAAATTTTATTTTTTAATTTTTGAAAACGTTTATATATATTTTTTAATGTTAATCGAATTTTGATTTATGCAGAAACAAATTAGTATATATTTTTTAACAGTAAATAAGGTGAGACAATAAATTTGATGAATTTTAATATTTTTTCAAAAGTGTTAAATTTGAATTCTTTTCTCTATATTATTGTTATATATAAAAATTGAAATTTTATATAGTCAAAAAAAATTTCATCCACATACAAGATATTGAGCAAAAAGTTTGTTTATCAATATTTTTATTTTTATTTTTATTTTTATTATTTTTATATCTGCTTTATATAAATTATAGAGTGAGTTTCACCACCAACAAAAGTTGTGATATAGCTCCATTTTTAACAGTGAGCCAACTCTAAAAAGGCGACCAATCTTTTAAGCGAAAACTATCATCTTAGACTTGATCGAAGTTTAAACATAAAGGATTCAATCTTGAAAAAAATGTATTAAGGCTTAACGAATTTTTTCGACTGTTAGGATTTATACGAATTTAAATTTCTGAAGGAAATTTCTGATCGATTCAAAATTAACTAATATAAAAATAAATTAAATATGGTATAAATTTATAATAATATAAGTATGACAATTAGAATATATTTATTTATAATTAAAATTAGCCTTTAATAATAAAATTTTTTCGAAGTTATTATCATTTAAACATCCACTTCATTAGCACACACTTAGTTTTACTAAACAAGCGCTTCACAGGAGCGCTTGATGGGAAAGGTATGTTATATTCAATAAATATTTTTTTAAATTAAGACCAGATAAAACTCTTATAAGATTTGTCGTTATATCTGTAAAGGTAGTAAATATTTTGTTGCCCAGAGTTTGACGAAATATAATTTTTGTCGTTGGAGAAAATGTTTTAATCATTTTCTGAAATGAAGGATCATCATCAAGTGACGCTGTTGGAAGGTGTCAATAATAAACTCCATTTTGCTATATTGCTGGCATGTTAAGATTTTAAAAATTTAATTTGGTTTGTTTGGATTTGCTACCAGAACCACTTTGGTTTTACAGAGATTTATTTGTTTGTGTATAGAATTCATTTAAGTGTTTGGCAATCTCATTTTTGAATCACTGTGATTTCTCTTTATAAAAGAAAAATATAGTATATATCAGAGTTAGATGAAAATAAGTCAAGTCCCAGTCTTAAAATTTTAGATGGAAATTCTTTATAAGTTAAAAATGACAAATATAAAAAAATTTATTATTTGCTATAAACTTTTGATAACATATTATATCAGCAACTATTAAAATAAAGAGAGAATTTACCCGTCAAAAAAAAAAAAAAAAAATGTATAGGCTGAATGTAAAACCTGTATAAACAAAAAAAATGATAAAGGGTTCAACACCTATTTTGTTAAACATATTTAAGTATGTTATTTACATGTGGTTAAAAGGGTCATATAAGTTTCTAAAAATTCAAGTTTGCAATATTACCTGCCCAAGATATATGGGCAAAACAAAAGAATTTGAGAAATTATTTTCAATATAATGTGGCTTTTTTAATTGTTGAAATATAAAATATGGTGGCATGGTAGTTGAAAAAATATGTTGTAGATAGATAATTTAAAAAAAAAATAATATTTTAATTTAATTTTCAAAATTTTTATTTTATTTATTGCTTTTTAAGAAAAAAATTAATTTTTAAAAGGATCGGGATCGAATATTAAAAAAACGATTTCGATCACGGTCCTCAATTTAAGTCAGGATCATAATCCGTGAAAATGACTAATATAGGATCGAATCCAAGATCGGCCAGATTCTATCCTTTAACAACTCTATAAAAAGCAAATCATAAGTAATATGATCACAATGATAAATTATTATTTAAGTAACGTAAACATGACCGAAAATTTATTGGACGCAAACACCCGCTAAAATCTACCACTATCCCCCACCCCCTCATTCTAAAAAAAATAGCGTCCTTCACCGCAAGGTTTACTCACCAGTATTACTTTTATGCTTTATTAAATACTCGAAAAAATGGTTTTAATATAAATTAATAAATAATATTTTTAAATTAATAATTTAGACAAATTAGAGGAAGAAAAAGCGAAAAAATTTATAATATCATCATTATTTAATCGTTTAGATAAAAAAATTTTCATTGATAAAATGGTTATATTATAAAATGGATCTCTCATATGGTATTGAGAAGTCTTGGCAGTATATGAGGTAGTAAGAATTTATCATCTCTTATATTATGCCATGTACAATTATTAAATAAGCATTTGTATTTTTTTGGTTAATATTTTAAGGCATATTTTGAAATTGGAAAAATAATTTTATGACAAGAAATCAACCTAATTTGCTGAACATCGATCAAAATTTATTAAAATGTAATATGACCCCCCATTTATTATTTAATTTAATATGTATACGGAATCACGAGGTAGAGTCCTATATCATAAACATAAAATCCTATATCATAAACATGAAATCCTATATCATAAACATGAAATCTAAGTAGGCGGGAGGTCTTAGGTACACAAAGTATTGATATAGGAATCATATAAAAGGTATTTTAAATATCTTTTGGAGGGTAAAAAAAATATTATATAAGCATCAAATAATAGGTAACTAAAATATTTTTTATTGTAATAATAATTAAACTCTAAATGGGTTCTAGGTTTTGGAATTTAACATTATATTAGAAGATATCTGTTATTTTTTAAGGAAATGATTAATGATATCAATTTTTTTTGGAAAAAATATATTTCGTAGACTTTATTCTTGTAATAGAATGAAAAGATAAAAAATTATTATAAAAGAAAATAAAAAAGTTAAGATTTAGAATTTTTTTTTATAGTTAATACTTAATTTCAAATTTATTTTTTATATATTAATAATTTCAAAATATTAATATTTTTAATAATGTCCCAATTAGTTTTGCCTGAAAATCAAACCTAATATCAAATTTATAAAAAAATTCTATTGACGAAAAACTATACATTAATCTAAAATTAAAGGACATTTTTATTTAAAAAATAATACAGAAAGAAAGAAAGAAAGAAAGAAAGAAAGAAAGAAAGAAAGAAAGAAAGAAAGAAAGAAAGAAAGAAAGAAAGAAAGAAAGAAAGAAAGAAAGAAAGAAAGAAAGAAAGAAATAAAGAAAGAAAGAAAGAAAGAAAGAAAGAAAGAAAGAAAGAAAGAAAGAAAGAAAGAAAGAAAGAAAGAAAGAAAGAAAGAAAGAAAGAAAGAAAGAAAGAAAGAAAGAAAGAAAGAAAGAAAGAAAGAAAGAAAGAAAGAAAGAAAGAAAGAAAGAAAGAAAGAAAGAAAAAAAAAAAGAAAGAAAGAAAGAAAGCAAGCCAATTATTATATTATCCGAATTGGGTGAAATATTTAAGACACATCACAATGATAAGAATCATACAGGTAAATGTTTATTGAATTACATTTTATTTGTATTCGATAATTTCTTTTAAATAAATATTCACTAGTATTATTAGCATAGTTAAAAAATATTTGAATATTATTCTATTTTCATAAACAATTTTGTAGTTTATTTGATGTTAGCCAAACCCGACCCAACCAGTCAAATTGTGATTATTTTTTATTTCAGTTTGTCTCAAATATATTTTTCCATGTGGGTTTTTCGTTACAATTTTAAATTTAATGATTAATTTTTTAAGCCTGACCCATTTATTTTAAAAAATTTGTTCGACTCTTACTATCCCCTTTCTTATATGTGTCCAGAAAAACGCAACTCCATTTAAAAATTATTTGTCCGCCCGGCTCGGTAGGAATTTACTTAAATATAGAAAAAATTAATATTTTTAATTGTAAAAAAAAAAAAATCTACAAATAAAAATATTACGACTTATTTCTTTCAAGAATTTTAAAATATATCAATTTATTTCATTAAATTGAATGATAACAGCCAGACCCGGCCAAAATTTTTTTTAAAAATATTAGGCCTTACCCAGCCCGAAATTATAATTAACACCGGGCCAGGCTGGGGGGGGGACCATGAATTGATAGATCTCTAATATCAATAAATCATGGATATTATTTTATAATTTTAATGTTAGATAATTTTGCAATTTTCATTTAGATTATTTTAGAATATTTTTTTAAAGATTATAATAGAATAATTTTTGATTTTCTAATAATATACAAAAAATAAATAAATTTCAGGGTAAATCTATTTTATATTTCTAATTTGATTTGGAATTTTGTCAATTATGTTGGGGTTAGGAATTTAAGGTAAAAAATTGGTTGCATCGTATCTTGGACACCTAAAGTATGTCTTCGTTCGATTTATTGGTAAACAGCCGGCTGTTCGGACTACTATAATAGCTTCGGCTAAACAGTTTAGTAAGATTTAAACAAAAACGAAAGAAACAAATTGAAAAACACAAGGAAAAACAATGCCATCAAACATTTAAAACATACAAAAATAGAGTGTCCTGTCTAACTGTGATAAAAAGAAATAAGTACTAAAATGAGTTGAACCAAGACACACTTTTAGGTTTTTAAAATTAAATTTATTTATAATATAATTAAAAAATAAATGGTTTTTACATTTGTTACTTCTCTTCAAGTTTTATACTAAAATATAACGAATTTCAGCTTATTATCTTTAATTTTATTCTGTTTTTATTGTCTTGAAAATATAAAAAATCCAAACTTATAATAGAAACGTAACAAAAAAAACTAATAACAATTTCCCCAAAAGAAATATAAATCATTTGAAAAAGTGTTATAGGGAAATTAACGGGTCCCTGTCATTATTATGCGGAATTATTAAATATAGTGCAAAAATTATTTAAAAAAATATAAAATACCGCGTATTGTATGAATAAAATAAGATCTTATTAGCAATCCGCGCATTATATGAATAAAATAAGATCTAATTAGGAATTTGTTGACAGAATAAGTGACAAATTTTAAATCAACAAAAAATCTATAAAATGAAGGTTATTATTTTATGTTCGGGAGAACTAGGTTAATTTTTGTATAGAGCAGGTTCAATAGAATTTTAAAAAAGTAGTAATAAAAATAAATACTAATAAAATGATATATGTAAAAATAATAACTCGCCACTAGAATAAATTATTTATG